TCCTTCGTCGTCCACTTCCCAAATCACCAGCCTCTGATCTGGATTCGAGGAGCCCGCACTGTGCAACAAGCGAATCGCACTGCGAATCTCGTAGCCTCATCATCGTCTGTCGATCGAGTCAGGACGAAGTCCAGGGGTGTACAGACCTTATCTCCTACTCGTCCTCTTCGTTTTCTTCCCTTCGATCTCGCCTTTCCTCCCTGTCCTCTGCTTCTTAACTTCTGAATTTCCTCTTCCTCGTCGTCCTCTCAGAGCGGCTCTCTGCCTCAGGCCCAGAAGGTGACTTGCACAAATACATCATCCTGGAGGAGCTGGGACAAGGTTCGGGAACAGCTGCCTCTATCTTCGATCTGCTACTGGTCCACTCGCTGGTTGCACTCACAAATCTAGTGGCTTCTGTCGGGGGCATCCTGTCCTCGAGGAGGAGGAGAAAGGTCTGGAGGAGGACGAGGAAGAGGAGGAGGAGGAGGAGGAGGAGAAGGAGGAGGAGGAGGATCTGGAGGTTTCCACCCTGGCCTTTGCTCCCGACCCCAAGACGGCCGAGGAGGCAAAATGGTACCGAGACGTCCCTGGGAAGGGGTCTCGGTATCGGTATCGATCGACAAGGCTCAGCGTCAGCTTCCTACGAGCAATGAAAGATGAAGCCAGCAATTGTGCACAGCGCGTTCCGGCAGGGCCCTTCGGAACACGCTGGAGGAGAATGAAAGTCAGGAAGAGGAAGAGGAGGAGGAAGTGGGTCTGGAGGTCTCGCTCCTCCTCATCGTACGCGTCGTGGCACTCGTTGTTTTCGTTGTCTGGTTCGGCCGGGTTCAGGGTCCATTTCGAAGCCGGTTCGGTTTGGTTCGGCTCGAATGTCGAAAACGACGGATTCTGTCCGTGTCGGTCCGCGTTGAAACAATGACGGGTTCCCACCGATTCGGTTTGGCCTGGTTCGATTCGGGCAGTTCGGCTCGCTTCTGCAACCATCCCGTATACATTATTGTCGTCGTCGCCGTCGTCGTGGTCGTTCGTTGTCGTCATCGTTGGCGAGGGCGTCACAGTCGTCCTCGTCGTCGTCGTCGAGGCCGTCGTCGTCGTCGTCGTCGTCGTCGTCGTCGTCGTCGTCGTCAAAATTGAGTTTGCAATCATGAGCGTCTGCGCTAGAACCCACGCGCGCGAAGCGCGCATGTTTCTGGTGCATGTATGCATACATGTATGTATGTGCTTGTGCATGTGCATGTGTTTTTGCATGTGCACGTGTATGTGTATGTGAATGTTTGTCAGTAAGTAAATGAGTATGCGCTTATGTCAGTTTGTGTGCATATTTGCATGCAACTAGGTATGTATGCATGCATGTATGCATGTTTGTATGCATACAATATGTAACGTGCATGCATGTATGCATGTATGCATGCATGCATATGTGTATGTATGTGTCAATGCATATAGGTGTATATATATATATATATATATATATATTATGTATATATATATGTGTATGTATGCCTGTAGGTATGTATGTGTTCTATGTGTTCTTCGTTATATGAATGTATGTATGCATGCACGCATGTATGTACGTATCTCTGGATGGATGCACGTATTTCTGTATGAATGTACGTATGAATGTATGATTGTACGTACGTGCGCATGTACGCACGTACTTACGTACGTATGAACGCATTTACGTATGCACGTATGTACGTATGCATGCATGCATCCATGTATGCTCGCATTCATGCATGCATGTATGCGAATGTCTGCATGTATGTATGCATGCATGCATGTATGTATGCATGTATGCATGTATGCACGTATGCATATATGTAGGTAGTTAGGTAGGGTGGTAGGTCGGTATGTAGACAGGCATGCATGTATGTATGTATGTTTGTATGCATGCATGCATGCATGCATGCATGTATGTATGTATGTACGTACGTACGCATCTATATATACGTAGGCATGTATGTATTCATGCAGATATGTATGCATATGTGCCTGCCTGTCCGTCTGTTTGTCTGTGTGTCTGTCTGTCTGTCTGTCTGTCGGTCGGTATGCGTTGGTATGTATGTATGTTTCATGCAAGCAGTCTAAATGTATGTTTGTACGTACGTACGTACGTACGTACGTATGTATGTATGTATGTAGGTAGGTAGGTAGGTAGGTAGGTAGGTAGGTAGGTATGTGTGTATGTATGTATATGTATGTATGTATGTATGTATGTATGTATGTATGTATGTATGTATGTATGCATGCATGCATGCATGCATGTATGTATGTATGTATGTATGTATGTATGCATGTATGCATGTGTGTGTATGTATGTATGGGCGTGGGGTCTATCCACGGCCTAGCCTCGCTTATACGTGGTTTAGAAGTGCTTGCCATAGCCTGCGGAGGTGCCGACCCGCGCGCAGTGGGCTCCGCCCACTTCGCGAGCTCTCGAGCACACCCGCCAGATACCACCCACCCCAGCATCCGTTTTAACTTCCCTGCCCCCTCAGCCTCAGCAGCCCCCGCGGTGATCCGCGCAGGGCCCCCCCCGCCCTCCGCCCCGCTCCCGGCGCGCGAGGGGCGCCCTCTGCACGGGGCCGCTCCCTTACCTGGACGCACGTCACGCGCCGAGCCTGGGCCCCTCCCCTGGCACAGATACAGCCCCCCCTTGGAAAAAAAAAAGGAGGAGGAGGAGGAGGAGGAGGAGGAGGAGGAGGAGGAGGAGGAGCAGGAGGAGGAGGAGGAGGAGGAGGAAAATATAAGATGACACTCAAAACATATGTAAAAAACACAAATCCTCCCCTCCCCCCCCCCGCCCACCCCCCGCCGCGGCTGGCCCCCTTCCCGGCCCCGCCCCGTGGCTCGCGCCCGCTGGCCGGCCACCCCGCCCGCGCTTGGGCACAGGCCACCGCGGCTGCGGCCGGCGCGCCCCCGCTTCGGCGGCTCCGCCCGACCCCCCGCCAGACTCCGCCGCGTCGCTGTGCGCGTGGCCGCGACGCCACACAAGTGTGCATGCGCGTGCATGTTCGTGTGTGTGTGTGTGACTTGTGCGCTTTCCCGCTCCCCTGTGGCGCCGGTCCGTAGTTTCCCACTCCCCCCATCTGCTTCGGTCGCCAGGTTGGCCGCAGTGCCGATCTGCTTCACAGCTTTATATTTATTGCGCTTCGCTGTCTCATACCGTTGTTGTGATTCAGTGGCCGTAATTCGCCGTTGGCTTTCGCGCTTTAGTTGGCTCTGAGTTGAGTTATTTCCTTTTTTTCCCGGAAAGGGCATGGGCCCAGGGTTCTCTTTTAGTAGGTAAACCTGTCCCCCGGTGCCTGCTTGAGGGAGGCCGGCGAATTTTTTCCCTGATAAATAACGAGGTCGAAGGAGGCCGGCGAATTAAAATTTGAGGATGTCTCGAGCGAAACGCTTGTTTTTGAAATCCCGATCGATAAATCACAGGGTGCGGGCCACTTTTTCGTGTGTTGAGGATGTCTCGAGCGAAACGCTTGCTCCGCAGAGTTTGCCGAGGATGTCTCGAGCGAAACGCTTGTTTTGCAGAGCCGACCGCGACGCGGAAAAGCGCCCCGCGCGAAGGAATTTCGATGATGTCTCGACTAATTCCTTTGTTTTTGTACGATTTCCTGGAATTTTGGCAGGATGTCTCGAGCGAAATGCACGACCCCACCCTAGCACGACCATACCCCAGCACGACCACACCCCAGCACGACCAGACCCCAGCACGACCCCACCCCAGCACGACCCCACCCCAGCACGACCATACCCCAGCACGACCACACCCCAGCACGACCCGACCCCAGCACGACCCTACCCCAGCAAGACCACACCCCAGCACGACCACACCCCACGACCTCACCACAGCACGACCACACCCCAGCACGACCACGCCCCAGCACGACCACGCACGACCAGCACGACCACGCACGACCACGCCCCAGCACGACCACGCCCCAGCACGACCACGCCCCAGCACGACCACCCCCCAGCACGACCACACCCCCAGCACGACCACCCCCCAGCACGACCACCCCCCAGCACGACCACACCCCAGCACGACCACACCCCAGCACGACCACACCCCAGCACGACCACACCCCAGCACGACCACACCCCAGCACGACCCGATCGATAAATCACAGGGTGCGGAGCACCCCAGCACGAACCCACCCCAGCACGACCCCACCCCAGCACGACCCCACCCCAGCACGACCACGCCCCAGCACGACCACACCCCAGCACGACCACACCCCAGCACGACCACTCCCCAGCACGACCCCACCCCAGCACGACCCCACCCTAGCACGACCACACCCCAGCACGACCACACCCCAGCACGACCCCACCCCAGCACGATCACACCCCAGCACGACCCCACCCCAGCACGACCACACCCCAGCACGACCGCACCCCAGCACGACCTTACCACAGCACCACACCCCAGCACGACCACGCCCCAGCACGACCACGCCCCAGCACGACCACGCCCCAGCACGACCCCCCCAGCACGACCACCCCCCAGCACGACCACCCCCCCAGCACGACCACCCCCCAGCACGACCACTCCCCAGCACGACCACACCGCCTTGGTTGAGTGGTTGCCTGTCGTCGTGGAATGTTTCGTGGGGTGTCTCGTGGAATGTTTCGCGGGGTGTCTCGTGAAATGTTTCGTGAGGTGTCTCGTGGAATGTTTCGTGAGGTGTCTCGTGGGCTGTTTCGTGAGGTGTCTCGTGGGATGTTTCGTGAGGTGTTGCCCAGTTGGGTATCATGAAAACGTGTCCATGCTCCACATGTCTATATCCCTTTCCGGGTTCGTGGGTCCATCATGTTGTGGACGCTGCATGTTTCGCTTGAACTTGCAGTTCCTCTTTCACACCCATTGCTTGCATGTTGCGGTGATACTGCTTGTGCGCCGTGCTATCGACACCGTTCGGTCGCAATTAGCACCTCCATCTGCTATTCGCGCTTGAGTTCCCTCTGCGCCGCGGACTTACAATTTTTACTTGTGCGTTCGTACGCTTGTGTGCTCATGCTTCTATTTGTGTTTGCGTCCGTGTGGGCAATGCCGCCCCCTCTGCTTCTTGTCCTCTGCCTTCCGCTCCCTGCCCCAGAAAGTCCGTAGCGATTTCGGCTCCAGGGCAGCCCACGTGGCTGTGCAGCCCGCGCACGTGACGATGGGTCTCGCAGCTTCTGGCAGCTGCTGCGTGGACAGGCGCGCTGTCGGCACCAGGGACCAGCCAGCGCTCAGCTCCAAGGCGGCACCCGCGCGGCCTCCTGCGACGGAGGCACGGAAGGCGCAGCCGGCACTTCGCGGCGAGAGGCCGTCGTCGGCACCTGGCCCTGCGCCTCTCACCGGGGACACGGAGGCGCTTGAGGCAACCGTGGAGGCCGCGCGGCTGCGACTGCCCGGAGCCTCGATGAGCGCTTGGCAGCGAGATTGGTGCACCGCGGCCACAGTCGACGTCTACCTCCGTGGCCGGAAGGGAGACCCGGAGAGCGCAGGGGACATCCTGGCGCAGGCGCTCGCGTGGCGGGAGAGGTTCAAGGACGTGCTGACCGGCGAGAGGCTGCCCAACTGGCAGGGCGACATGAGGGTGCTGACCCGAGGGGCCTCTTGGCGTCCGATCATATACACGTGCTTCCGCCACCAGGTGCCCTCCGCCAGCGCGGTCGACCTCATCCATCACACGGCAGCTGTCTTCGAGGCGGCTGTGCGCCTGATGAGGCCCGGTGGCTCGACCCAAATCGACGTCGTAGCAGACTGCCACTGCTTCAGCTTGCTCAACAATCTGAATGTTGCTCCACTGCTGGACTTCATCGAGGTCCTTAAGCACCCTTATCGTGACAGGTTGGGCCACTGCTGGCTGGTCGATGCCCCGGTCGCCATTCGAAGAACGAACAACGACACGGACATGATTTCTCGGAGCTCCACGCGGAATTCTCGGATCGGCGCTGGGGCCCCCTTGGCGGCCTCTCCGGCGCCGCCACTGGCGGGCGGAGCGCGCCAGGCTGGGAGGTCCAGTGCCGATCGGAGAAATCCGCGCGGACCTCAGAGAGACCATGTCTGTGCCGTTGTTTGTCCTTCTGGCCATGGAGACGACGTGGCGCATCGTGAGTCATGCGATCCCGGCGGCGACCCGCCAGAAGGTGCGCTGGGTCTCCGCGGCCGAGGTTCGGGAGCGTCCAATAAGGGGGTGATGATTATAGGGGGTGCCATGACATCTCTCCGGATTCCATGGCCCCCTCTCCTTCTTCCATCACGTCCTCTATTCCCCCCCTCGGTTTGCGCACATTCAGGAGGGAAAAAACACAGACACAATTAATCGTCGACTCCCCAGAATATGGCAAAATATAGGAAGTGGGGGGGAAGACGAAAACCCAGAAAATATGGGATAACATGGTGAATCCTGTTATTTGTATGTATTTATTTAATCGCTTCGCTCATTCCGCCAGCCCTGGAGCCCTCTTTAGGGCCTCTTGGGGGCCTCTTGGGGACCTCTCGGGAGTCTCTTGGGGCTCCTTGGCGGCGTCTTGGGGGCCCCTGCAGCCTCTTGTGGGGCTCTTGGGGACCTCTTGGGTCAGGAGGGGGGTAGTCGATTGCGCCCCTCCCCTCGGAGGCCACGATCCTCGTGAGGGGTGTCGAAAAGTTGCCCGGTCTGGCATCTCTGATTCGAGTGTCCCGGGGGTGTCCCGGGGGTCTCCCGGAGTGCTTTTCGTCCAAGGACCCCCATGGGCGGCCCCGCGCGCGCGAACTAGAAGATTGTTAACCAGTTACCGGAGATCTTAGCACGCCCTTGGCCCGTTGGGCCGGCGAATTTGTGTGTCCCAGGGCCCCTCCACTCTTGGACGCCCCCCGTGTTCCATCACGTGAGGAGGAGGATGAGGAGGAGGAGGGGGAGGAAGAGGAGGAGGAGGAGGAGGAGGAGGAGGAGGAGGAGGGGGAGGAGGAGGAGAGGGGGAGGATGATGATGATGATGATGATGATGATGATGATGATGATGATGATGATGATGATGATGATGATGATGATGAATGATGAATGATGATGATGATGATGAGAAGAGGGAGGAGGAGGAGGAGAGGAGGAGGAGGAGGAGGAGAGGAGGAGGAGGAGGGGAGGAGGAGGAGGAGGAGGAGGAGGGGGAGGGGGAGGGGGAGGGGGCAGGGGGAGGGGGAGGAACGCGCACGCGCCTCTGGCTGTGACCTGCGACCCCCACTCTTGGCCTCCCCCCACCCCCGCCCCCCCCCTTGGGCGCGCCCGAGAGGTGGAGGGCGAGGTGGCCCGGTCCGCGGGCGACAGGGCCGCGCGCGCCGTGGTCCGCGCCGTCGCCGCCAACCGCGGGGAGCTGCCTTCGGGGGACGCCCTGCGGGCGCTGTGGCGGCTCCCCAGCCTCGGGGGGCGTCGGCGGACGTTTTTTTTGTTTTGTTTTGTTTTTGTTTTCCGTTTTTCCCGGAAAGGGCATGGGCCCAGGGTTCTCTTTTAGTAGGTAAACCTGTCCCCCGGTGCCAACTTGAGGGAGGCCGGCGAATTTTTTCCCTGATAAATAACGAGGTCGAAGGAGGCCGGCGAATTAAAATTTGAGGATGTCTCGAGCGAAACGCTTGTTTTTGAAATCCCGATCGATAAATCACAGGGTGCGGGCCACTTTTTCGTGTGTTGAGGATGTCTCGAGCGAAACGCTTGCTCCGCAGAGTTTGCCGAGGATGTCTCGAGCGAAACGCTTGTTTTGCAGAGCCGACCGCGACGCGGAAAAGCGCCCCGCGCGAAGGAATTTCGATGATGTCTCGACTAATTCGTTTGTTTTTGTACGATTTCCTGGAATTTTGGCAGGATGTCTCGAGCGAAATGCACGACCCCACCCTAGCACGACCATACCCCAGCACGACCACACCCCAGCACGACCAGACCCCAGCACGACCCCACCCCAGCACGACCCCACCCCAGCACGACCATACCCCAGCACGACCACACCCCAGCACGACCCGACCCCAGCACGACCCTACCCCAGCAAGACCACACCCCAGCACGACCACACCCCAGCACGACCTCACCACAGCACGACCACACCCCAGCACGACCACGCCCCAGCACGACCACGCCCCAGCACGACCACGCCCCAGCACGACCACCCCCCAGCACGACCACACCCCCCAGCACGACCACCCCCACACCCAGCACGACCACACCCCAGCACGACCACTCCCCAGCACGACCACCCCCAGCACGACCACAACCCCAGCACGACCACCCCCAGCACGACCACACCCCAGCACGACCCCACCCCAGCACGACCCCACCCCAGCAAGACCACACCCCAGCACGACCACAGCCCCAGACACCACAGCACGACCACACCCCAGCACGACCACGCCCCAGCACGACCACGCCCCAGCACGACCACGCCCCAGCACGACCACGCCCCAGCACAACCACCCCCCAGCACGACCACCCCCCCAGCACGACCACACCCCAGCACGACCACCCCCCAGCACGACCACACCCCAGCACGACCACTCCCCAGCACGACCACACCGCCTTGGTTGAGTGGTTGCCTGTCGTCGTGGAATGTTTCGTGGGGTGTCTCGTGGAATGTTTCGCGGGGTGTCTCCTGGAATGTTTCGTGAGGTGTCTCGCGGAATGTTTCGTGAGGTGTCTCGTGGGATGTTTCGTGAGGTGTCTCGTGGGATGTTTCGTGAGGTGTTGCCCCGTTGGGTATCGTGAAAACGTGCCCATGCTCCACATGTCTATATCCCTTTCCGGGTTCGTGGGTCCATCATGTTTTTTTTTTTTTTTTTGTTGTTGTTGTTGTTGTTGTTGTTATTATTATTGTTTGTTTGAGTTCATATTTTTTATGTTTTTTTTTGTTTCTCCTCTTCGGAGGTGGACAGGCCTCCCACCCCGACACGTCGATTACGGAATCGGCCGTTGTCGGTTCGCGAGAGGGCGTCGCGGCCGTCGTGTTTGCGGGTCCAGGTCGGTCGGTTTCGGCCCCAGGCTGTTTTCACTAAGGGGAGGTTTACTAAAGGGAGGTTCGTCCACCGCCGATTTTTGTTTCGTCCTCCACCCTGGGCCATGACGGGCGTTTTGCCCCACCTCCCCCCCCCCCGCTCCCTCCTCTCCCTGCGCTCCCCCCCCCCTCCCAAGGTCGTCCCCGGCACTGCGGCAGTGCGCAGTGCGTCCAGACCCACATGGCGGGGCGGGGTGCGTTATGTATGTTATGCCCCCCCCCACCCCCGCTCTCTCCCTTCCCCCTCCATAACGCTCGTTTTCGCCGTGAATAACAGAATGCTCTCCATGAGAGTCGCAGAAGAACAAATTGCATGTAAGCATACTTTCTCGGAGGTCGGCGCGGATTTCTTGGATCGGCGTTGGGGCAGGCGCCGCCAGGGGTCCAGCACCGATCCAAGAATTCCACGCGGACCACTGCGAACGATTCCCCTAAACAGTGCCTGCACTTCGGGGCTATTACTTCTTGCTAAGGATCTGGGCTGGTGTCTTGGTCTGTCGGCTGTGTAGTCGCCGTCGCCGCCCCGTCGTCACGTCGTCGCGGGCCATCTTCTGGGCCTGTGTGTCGGTCTGGCGGCTATGTCGTTGCCGTCGCCGCCCCGTTGCCGCCTTGTCGCAACCCGTCGCCCTCCGTCGTCTGGGCCCGCATTGCTTCGCATTGGTTACATGTGTTGCATCACATTGATTTTGCAGTGTAGATTGCACCACACATATTGCATGACATCGATTGCACAACATATATTGCACCACATAGACTGCAACACATAATCATCTTGCACCACGGAGTTCGCACCATAGATCGTGCCACATATATTGCAATGCATAGATTGTTCAATCTAGATTGCACCATATCGCTGCACAACGTATATTCCACAACATATATTACACAATCTATATTGCACATAATATATTGCGCCACCCAGCTCGCACAACATAGACTGCACCACATATATATATATATGTATATATATATAGTGCACAACACAGATTGCACAACGTATATTGCACTACTTTGATTGCGTAGCATCGGTTTCACAACATACATTGCATTACCTGGACTGCAACGCTTGTATTGTACCAAACAGATTGCACCTCATGGATTGTGACACGCATGCGCTGCATTTATCGAACGGCATATATTGCACCACGCACATAGCACAACACATATATCACAACGTAGACAATATATATATATATATATATATATATATATATCGCATCACGTATATAGCATAACATACATTGCACCGCACATTCTGCACAGCATAGGCAGCAACACGTTTTTCGCACAGCGTGGACTGCAGCACATTTCTGGCACCACATCGATTGCACACCATAGATTGCTAAAACACGCACTGTTTGGGGTCCACGCTGACTAACACGTGTCTGACATTTTTCCCGGAAAGGGCTTCAGGCCCAGGGTTCTCTTTTAGTTTATTTCCCCCCGGTTTTGAAGGGAAGAGGGCCGGCGGATTTCTTTTGCGATAAATAACAAGTGGGAAGAGGGCCGGCGAATTAAAATTTCAGGATGTCCCTAGCCAAACGCTTGTTTTTCAGAATTTGTTGAGGATGTCTCGAGCGAAACGCTTGCTTTGTGTTATTGATTGTCCTCTCCTGGGGACCAGAATTCAGAGGATCTCTCAAGTGAAATGCTTGTTTTCACGTGCCCAGGTCTTGAGGATGTCTCGAGCGAGACGCTTGGTTTCACGCCTCCAGGTTGCCCAGGCAGAGGTCTAGCGCCAGGATTTGTTGAGGATGTCTCGAGCGAGACGCTTGGTTTCACGCGTCCTCGTCGCCCAGGCGGATGTCTAGCATGAGGATGTGTTGAGGAAGTCTCGATCGAGATGCTTGTTTGCACGTGTCCAGGTTGCCCAGGCGGATGCCTAGCATGAGGATGTGTTGAGAATGTCTCGAGATATGCTCTTGTTTTCACGTGTCCAGGTCGCCCAGGCGGATGTCTAATATGAAGATGTGTTGAGGATGTCTCGAGCGAGACGTTTGCTTTCACGTGTGCAGGTCGCCCAGGCGGATGTTTAGAATGAGGGGGTGTTGAAAACGTCTCGAGCGAAACGCTTGTTTTCACGTGCCCAGGTCACCGAGGCGGACGTCTCACATGAAGATGTGTTGAGGATGTCTCGAGCGAACCACTTGTTTTCACGTGTCCAGTTCGCCCAGGCGGATGTCTAGCATGAGAATGCGTTGAGGATGTGTTGAGCGAATCGCTTGTTTTCATGTGTCCAGGTCGCTCAGGCGGATGTTTAGCATGAGGATGTTGACAGGATGTCTCGAGCGAAACGCTTGTCCCCAGCACGTTCCGTAGCGCGTCCCATTGGCACGTCCCGCGGTGCGTTCCCATGGCACGTCCCCTGGCACGTCGCTTGGCGCGTCCCTTGAGACGTTCCGCGGCGCGTCCTCCTGGCATGTCCCCCTGTCAATTAGCTCCGGGGCAGCTACTATGTATTCAGGCAGCTCGAGCTTAAGATCCAGATCAGTTCGGTCAGGACTCGGATGCAAAGGAGGACTCGATCCACACTGCTATAGAGCACAATCGCGGCATGGCACATCGCCATTCAGCACGGCGCAGCACAGCACAGACTTCGGCACGGTACATCAAGACCGACACACTCAGCATTGCAACCTGGCACGTTCCTTGGCACGTTCCGTGGGGCGTCTCTTGGCGAGTCCCCCTGGCAGGTCGCGTGGCGCGTCCCCTGGCACATCCCGTGGCACATCCATTGGCACGTTCCGTAGCGCGTCCCCTTGGCACGTCCCGCGGTGCGACCCCATGGCACGTCCCCTGGCACGTCGCCTGGCGCGTACCTTGGGACATTCCGCGGCGCGTCCTCCTGGCATGTCCTCCTGTCAGTCAGCTCTGGGGCATCTACTGTGTGTTCAGGCAGCTCGAGCTTAAGATCCAGATCAGTTCGGTCAGGACTCATGCAAAGGAGGACTCGATCCACGACGCTATAGAGCGCAATCGCGGCATGGCACATCGCAATTCAGAACGGTGCAGCACAGCACAGCCGTCGGCAGGATACATCAAGATCGATACACTCAGCATTGCATTTGCCCGTCACCCAGTCAGGTGTCATTGAAAACGTTGCCATGCGTTACATTTCTATATTCCTTTCCGGGTTCGTGGGTCGATCATGTTTTGCTCTGGAGAGGAACAGGCACCAATACCGCTGCTCGTCCTGGAGAGCCCTCGTCGCCATGGCTGAATCCCGAAATTCTGCTCAGAAGGCAACCCGGGAGAACCTCTGTCTTGGAGAGTCCCTCCCGACATCCTGGTCAGTCGGCAGCCCGGGAGAGCTCCAGGGAGCAGCGGCCTCGGTATTTTTCTGGACTAGACGTCAGAGTGACCTTTCGCCGGAGTGACCTTTGGTGCGGGCACAGATGAGCCCCCAGATGGCTGAAAACGAAGCGGTAGCAGGGGCTTGCGCGCCCAGGTTTGGCCTCCCCGCGGCCCCCAGAAAGCCGCGCACCAAAGGTCACTCTTAC